GTCGGTGTATTATGGAAGGGAGACGCGTTCGTTCGGCCTTCTCTCCACCCGATATCGGCTATTTATGCATGCGTACCGCGATATTTTAATATATTTTCTAATTGATCTTTATTTACATACGCCAATTAACATATTGCGCATATACACGTAGGTGGTATCGGAGTACAAGGATGGTCGGTGCATTCAGGTCGTCGAAATATGTAATCATCATTGTCGGGATCGTCGGGCGCGCGAAACGCGCGAATTCACATCGAATTTTTAACGTTACGTTAGTTTTTCAATACCGCGGCAAACTGATTTGCCGGTGTGCGGCATGATTGATACAAACATTACTTTTTATTCGGATCTTCCGCGCACGATAACCGTAATCATAGCAGAAATCTCGGTATTTTTTGTACAACATGCATGCGGATGCGGAGCGAGAGGAGAATGGAAACAGGAATAAACTCAATTGTATTTTATTCACATTTCCGCGGAGGTATGTATCTCCGCGCGATAAAATCCGTTCGGTTAAATACATTTTGATATTACTACACCGTGAATTGATAATCGACCTATTTTCGTTTCCTACGAACGTATCACTCGTGGAATTTAATCTAAAGAAAATTTAATTTCTTTCTCTCTCTCTCTCTCTCTATCTCTCCCCCTCTCTTCTGACTGTTTCCTTTACCACTAACCTATGTGTCTCTTGACTCTACCTATATCTCTATTCTTTTCTATTTTTTTATTTCCTCACTCTTCGTCTCTGCTCTTTGTTACCTTTGGCTGTGTTCCAACATTCACTGGCAACGCTGAAAGTCTATAGTTCAAGTTACGTGTATTATAGATCTTCAGTATTGGCAGTGAATATTGGGACACAACCTTTGTCTGTCTACTTTATTTTTTCTTCGTTCGTTTTCTTCTTCAATTAACACAATGTAACCACATTTACATTAACCTCCTGATCGAATTGTCATTCGACTTCGACGATGATAGCCACGCTCGTTCGCTCGCTCCATCGTTCTTACGCCTATGACAGTTTGACCAAATATTACATTGGGAGATAAATAAACGGAGTTATATTTTCAATGTTACTGTGCTAAATATATTTAGTGCGATATAGTACTCATTATTGTCTATAGCTATATTTTCTGATTGGTTACATATTTTTTCAAATTTCAGTCTTTAATTTTTTCTTTACTCTTCAAGCTCGATGTAGTCTAAATATAAATATGTAACGAAAAATTTTTATTTTTATTGATTGTTACTTAAATTATAAATAATAATCATATGTACAAAGAAATGTTTATATACTTATCTTTATTCTATTAATGTTGAAAAGTTATAGAATTCATCTATACTATTAAAAGGTAATTTAAAGTCGTCACCAATTACATTTTGATTTGGGGTATTTTTTGGTATTGTTTGATACTACTGCTAATTTGTTATTTATTTTCTTATTATATTTCTGTAATACTTATGTGTAATATTCTAAATTGCGTATCTTTCTTTAAAATCAATATCATACCTACAACTAAAAAACATTATTAACACGTTGACTGCCAACTACGAGATATCTCGTAGGTTGTTTACTTGCCCAGGACGCCAACTACGAGTTATCTCGTCGCTTCATTACTTGATTAAATCAAATTGGCTTCTTAGACCAGAATCGTAAAAAGTTCCGTGACAGTCAATGTGTTAATATTGAAAAAAGGAATTATAAAAACTTGTTACCTACATTCTCCTCTATTGCTATAGAGCTTTCTTAATATTATTTCTTGTATAGTTTCTGATCGGGAATTGTCAAAGAAACATTATTCAGTATTTTCCGAGTTTTATCTGTGCATAAATTGCATAGCATTTACTTACCATTGTTTCTTGCTTAGTTTCTGACAAGGAACTGGCCAATAAATATTGTTTAATATTTTTCAAGTCTATTGTTTAACATTTTTTTTCTTTGCGGAAACTAAATAGCGTTTATTTACTATTTTTACTTGGTAGTCTCTAGTCAGGAACACACTAAGATATACTGACCAATATTGTCCGAGTTTTTTCTTTGCAGGAATTGCATAGTATTTATTTATTATTTTTACACAGCCATTTTCAATTATTAACCCTTTGCACTCGAGGGCTCCGGAGCGGAGCCATTTAAAATTTGTCTTCAAACTCTTCAAACTCAAATGCAAATGGCAAGAGCGGAATATCCTATATATAATAGTTTTTACGATTTGTCTTTGTCCTTATGTTATGAATTGAAAGTTATTTGCATTGTCTCCATAGCGGAGCCCTCGAGTTTGAAGACAAATTTTAAATGGCTCCGCTCCGGAGCCCTTGAATGCAAAGGATTAATAATTCGCAATTTTGCGCGTTGTTTGCAAAATCATACTTTTTTGTTCACCTCAATCCGTTCTATGCCCTCAAGAAATCCGCCGATGTTACTTTGACATCCTGTATATATTTATCTCCACTTCGTGTTAAATTAATATTTATTATTTAGATAGTGAAATAAATGTAATCATCATATTTATCTCCACTTCGTGTCAAATTAATATTTATTATTTAATTAGTGAAATAAATGTAAAAAAACAATTTTACTTATTTTTACTCATTTTTAGATAAATATTAAATTTATAAGTGCTTCCCTTGATGCACCACTGGAAAACATATACGATATTTACAATCTCTTTAATATAAATTTACTTCAAGATACTGTCAAAATGTTACATTTCTTATGTTACTTTTTGACATGATAATTATGGTACATTTTAACATATTCATTTTACGATAAATTAACATTTGTGTAGACCCTTCGAGACATGTGTGCGACACGTTAAGTATAACACAAATTTGTTTACCGTGTACCGTGATAAACTCGCTCGAACGGTTGCTCCGTCTTCGAGGAAAAAATACCAACGTTTCACGGCGCAAGGAAGGAAGAAAATCGCGGAGAAGCATAAAGAAACAAGAAGTTCTTGATAACGCTGTCTATGCGCTACTCGAGCCGGATTCGTCTCGTTTGCCGCGAGCGAGCGAACGAGCGAGAGAATTATTCGCAGAAATGACAATTCGGCGGGGAAAAAAGCGCTTTTCCACGACGATCTCGCGAAAGTAGGTAAACTGCATCGAGTGGAGATATCGGCTTGGAAGTTTCACGAGTCTCTGCCGCTATCTTCCATTACGGCTAAATCCTTCAAATCGGAATCGATCGCAGCGGTCGGTCGCGATACGCGGACTCGCTACACCAGGCGAACTGTAGCGCGCATGGTGACTTTTACGATTCTATTCTAGGCAAGGATGTTATTGGCCGAGCAGAGCTGTCTTCAATCGATCTCCTCTCTTCGCTACGTTACGGAGCCGCCACGAAGCTAAGATTCTCTCTCTCGGCGCGCACTAACCCTTCTCACTCCTGCGGCTTCTCCCGAGTACCAGTTTCCAGTGGAGTTTCGCGAATCGCGTCGTTACGCCGCGCGGAGATCAATATCGCTTTTGTGACTTTTGCTCCGCTGTCTCGCAGGAAGCTCGCACAGTATGTACACACGCTCGTCCGCGAATCCGTAAAAGTAATCGGCGCCGCGGCTGAGAGGAGCCGGCTGGAAATCGTATTTCGAGAATAACATCGCTCGAAAATCGTATCTTTAAGCCGCGCGCAAACTCGACTTACCCTCAAAGCTCGAGGAGTTCTCCTTCCTTCTGATAACGTCAAAAAGATCACATGTACGGTGTATATCTGTACATATGTCTATTTTTGACATCATGCCACACGGTTTCGACTCGTTCCGCCTTTGTTTATTTTTTTCTCCTCTCTTTTTACGTACGGCCACGCTGACTTTCTGAACATTCCGGGGTTGTTTTTAACACGCGGCCGACCATTTTGCTCTCCGGTATCCGAATGGTATCGGAAACAAATTTCTGGATAAATACTGTTGCGTCCGTGGTCGTTAGTCGCGCGATTCATGACGCTCGTGATCACGTTTCAACAAGAGCGTATCGATTTAACCGAATTCTAACGTCCGAGAAGGTGACACGCCGTAATGCACAAGGACAATTATTTCAGATTTATTCATGTGTATCTCGGGACCGATCGGTTTTTCGTTTTTCTCCTATTTTCCATCACTTCGAATATTGAAGTTTCTTTTACTCTAAACTCTGCGCGAAAACGATACTACCGATAGATCGAATCCAAAAGATCAAGAGAAAGGCGGAGAGCGGGGGGGGGGGGGGCAGAATTGAATAAAATTTCCGTCAAAAAGGTCTGTTGGATCTACGGATGCGCGTTCCGACTATCATCTCAATTATGTAAGTTAACTCCGAGCGTATCGGTTTCCTTGTGAAATCAGTCTTTTCGTGAGAAGGGATTATTAAGATTCCTATCGTTTGTCGCGATATTCAGAAAGGTCGGTAAGAAAGGATCGCAGTTATCGTGTCAAGAATCGGATAAGATAAGAGCGTTCACCCGTATTCCGTGTGCAAGTTATCAAATCTTTTAAGGAGAGGCACAAGTTGTCCGTAAATTATTCACGTGTACACGAAGCGTTAAGTTAAAAATATCTGCCGGTAATTGATAATGTAACAAATTCGACTCGTTCTTTCGTTCGAATTTTCGTTTATCTCGGTTTCAATTTCACACACGACATCTTCTCCTTCCAGGTCGAATTTATCTTTCGTTTACGGAACGATGCTATTGTTGCATCTTCCCGATGCGACGGTGCATCTTTACAAATCACGCGCACACTTCTAGATCGTATCCGTTGAAAAGATTGCACTTTTAGTGTCGACCGAGAGAGAAAAAGATAGATAGATAGAGAGAGAGAGAGAGAGAGAGAGAGAGAGACTTCAGTACATCGTTACGGCTCTTTTAACATTATAGATAGCTGCAACACGTTTTTTTCTTTTGAAATACGGTAACTCCGAAGGCAAAGCAGAGAAGCGGGGTTATTTAAATTTTCCTGTCGGTTCTCCAATTTAAATCATTCTTTGTCGAGCTCTAGATATTGGAAACGGCTATATGGCTCTGTACTCACCTGGTCGACGTTCTCCGTTAGGTCATGCAGACTTATGTTGTAAATGGCGTTTCTGAAAAACGAAACGAGAACGTTAAATCCCAGCCATAAATCGTGCCCCGTAATCTCTGCGTTTCGTGCGTCTCCGCACTAACAGCGATTCGAATGGGAGTAAATGCTAGTAATTAGACAACTGAGATGGCGCAAATGAGTAATATATCGTTAGATCGGTGCGAAAGCTCTGTCACACTTGTTAAAATATTGTAAACAAATTATTCAATTTCGAAGTATTGATAATTTTTTTACGGATAAAATAAACGACTTTTCTCGACTCGGTATTATCTCGAATATCTGACGAAGTCCTCTTATTTTTTCCTTCTTGACACAGCCAACTACTCGAATTACTCTCGACTAAGCGTTGGATATTGCACAGTTTCTGCAAGCCGCGAATAGTAATATATTTTATCTCAAGCTTCTACAACTTTTGCAATATGAGGATTAAGAACAAGAAATTTTAAACTAAAATTTATCATATCTCTATCGCATTGAAGGGTTAAATATTAAACCTGTAAAATTACATTTTCTCTATCCAAAAAGAAAATTATAACGAACTGTACGTACTGCATCATATATACTTTACCATTATGATGAAGATTATTTGTATGATTTTTAGCTATATGCGGTACAAAGTAGAAAATCATGCGAAAATCATGCGTAGATATGTTGCGATATTTATTTATTTTATTTATTTATTTATGATATGAACAGGAAAAGATTCTCTTTTTATATAAAACAAAAAAGAATAATAGAACAAAAAAGACACAAAAATTATAATGAGGTCAAAAGAAAAAAAAAGAAATAAAAAAGAAAAGGTTTACATTTATATGAATAGCGAACTTAATTTGTTTCTAAGCATATTTTCATACATATTAAAGAGATCAATATAAAAAATTCATTAGCCAGCATGCTCAGACAATTAATGAGTTTTAATCATCCATATAATATTCGATGATACGGAATGGAAAAAGTGGATACCGTTTAAGATATCTAGCAGGGAGATGAAATCCAGAAAACATAAGAATATTAAGACAATTCAGATTAACATTAATTAATATAATATGTAAAAATAATAAATCTGTATTTGATTTTTCTGTGCTTCAAAAATACAATGTGCATATCGCGTTGTAACGGCTGCAATATTGTAAAGAAAACACAAGAAAAAGGTTTTCTTGAGTTTACGATATACAGAGTGTTTAGTATGTTTCATAAAAGCGCTCGTGTGAAAATAAAACGGGTTAAACTGAACAGAAAATACATCTACCATTTTGAAAACAACTACGCAAAATTTTAAATTATTAATTATTGAAAATGGCTGTACATAGAGATTTTTTAATAACTGAAAAATTTGAGTGTTATTTGCGAAATGGTAAAGGATTTTTATTCAAAGTCTAATCTACGAGTATATGACAGCTATTGTACAGTAAGACCTCGTTTAACGCTGCTCCGCTTAACGCTGCTTTAGTATTACGCAGTAATATTGGGATTCCCCGAAATCACACGCGGTATTGGTATTTGTTGTATATATGTGCAAATGAAGCGAACATGCACCAACTATAAGCGGTGCGCTATGTAGCTACGGTGCACACTATGTATTTTTTTCGATGTTCTTTTTCTAGTCTGTCCAGGATAAAGGTTCCAACAGTATTCCTCGAAATCGCATTACAGTACGAACGCATCTTTCCTGCGCCACAGTTGATTTATAATATTCTCGAATTTTTTCATGTTAATATATTGAAAAAATTAAGCCGAATAATTAAAATTTGAATTTCTCGGAAACTAGACATTTCCGCAACTCCGTACTAGTAGCGTCGACTATATTTCGTGGTACCTACTACATACTTGTAAAATTTCATCAAAATCGGAAATGGATAGTAGACTAAAGTTTAGCTAAAGATATTTATTGTTTCAGAAACCAAACAATCCTGTTTATTGAATTAAACATTCGTTTGTTTGATCTATTCCAAAAACAAACGTGTTTGAAGATTTTTGAGTAAATTGAAGAAATTGAAGAAATTTTATGAAATTCAAAGAAATATTTTTCTTTGTGTACTCGATGAAGGTTCGAAGAAAAAGAACCGAAGGAATCCGTACACCAGCGGCACATGAAAATTTATGTTTATGTATATTTTCCGTGAATAAACACAAAATATATGCCTGTGTCTTCTTTTGTTTTAGGTATTACAGCGTTATTGATGTTCTTTCGATTTGTTATATTTTGTACTTATAAGCGTTTATAACGGAGTGGTGCAAAAAAGTAAATTTCTGGCTATTTGGTTCTTCAGTGATGAATCATGATACGAGTAAATCTACCCGAACAATTGGCAACGAGATAATATCCAAATCGGTAACTCTCTACGATTTAGAATTCGACGGAAAGACGACAAATCTTTCGCGCTAACCTAATATACAGAAGCGCGCGAAAGCAATTTTCACGAGAGTATAAGAGGGAAAAACTATTTTCGGATAATATCTGAGTTTTCAAATCTTATGGACGGAGTTGTGTGTGCGGAAAGAATGAAAGTGCGAAAGATAAATCAAGCGAAAAAAAGAACTGAAAGAATGAAATTGGAGTCGTAAAAGATCCGCGCTATACATCTCGGAGGTAATTGATTTTACGACCTAGGAACATTGCGCTGACAGTTGGCGGAAAGCTTGACCGAAGAAAAAATTAAATTATTTTTGATCCGTATCAAATTTCCATTAGCCAACGTATTTGTATCGGATCCTGCAAAAAGAAACGCTTTTGATGTCTGCCCGCGGCTTTAACTGGCATAACTGAAGCGAATTGATACAATAATATAAGGCAGAAAGAAATTATGCAATCGAATGTTGAAGAAAAAATTGGGCGGGAAAGGATGGGAAAGGGAGAAGGATGTAAACGAGAAATAAATTTATGAACGGAAATGATCTCTGTTTATGAGTGTCGAATTGATTGTAGATAATAGGATGTTTCGAATCACTTTTTGTCTGCAAATTTTTTGAACAATTTAGCCTTTTCCTAGACGGAAATGCCATATACGATCGGAAATTAGAGAGCTCTCGGGAACAAAACGTGCCGGATGCACGGTCAAATAATAAAACCCTTTATTTATTTTTATGTGATCTTTTATTTTAACGCGGGATTTTATCTCGAAGCTTATTCGATAAGATGATTAACGTTAAAATCAAGAGATCGTCAAAAAGAAGAGCAAACTCCATCCGAATTACCATCGAGATCCCGTCTAGAGAATTGGAGGAAAAATCAAATAGATGAAAACCAGGAAATTATTTAAAATAAGGAATACCACGCCGATCATCATGAGTTTGATTTACAACATTAAATATAATCTTTATTAAATTTTAATAAATTTAATCGACGATTAATTCAACCAGCAAAACTGTCAACATAAAAATTAACCATCATTAACTTGGGCTGGGGTGTTTTTCTTCACGCGGCATACTCTCCTCGCTTGGTGTCTTTGAATTATCACCTATTCCGGTTGATGCAGCACTCCTTAGCAGGACAGCGTTTTCGAGATGTGGCAGAAATACGAAAATGACTTGATAAGAAAATGGCTCGATAAATTCATTGCTTCCAAACCGATATCTTTCTTTCGCGAAGAAATCCGATAATTGCTTAAAAGATGGCAGGAGGTTATAGAAAATAAGGGAAAATATTTTGAAGATTGATTTGTAGTCACTGTATTATAAACTGTATGATAAACAAATAAAATTAAGAAAAAAAGACTAAAACTTTTGCATACATCTAATACTTTTCATTTTGATATTTTTTAATACGAGAAATATGAAATATCTCATAAAATTAATTAAAATCTCATAAAATCTCACTTTTTGATAACATCATCTTAATTTAAAACGTCGCATCAGCTCCAGACAGACACTCTTATAATTTTGAATGGTGTTTACTGTCGCTTCGACCGAATTTTCACTCGTCTTGAACGAAATTCGCTCTTAGAAATATAAAGAGCAGGATATTCAGCTAAATTGTTTATCGGCAACAACATTGTATTACTTTCGTTTCTGAGCTCCGCTTTTCTTTTGGTTATCGTACGATAGCAACCGAGATCTGTGAGACTGAGCGTACGTAACTGTTTTGCGGAAACCTAATGCTAACTACTACAATGCTCTATAGAGAAGACTTAGACACAACATTACGGTACCGGTGAGGCGTGTTATCGTATCATTTCTAATAAATATACTAAACAAAACGCAAATAGTCCGGCTATACCAATGTTAACCGTCGGAAATTCATTCTCGCACCAATCTTCGTACAGTTCAAATATGCGTTCCCTTGGAAATCCGTCTCTTAGCTATACGGTTTCCACCGTCGACTTAGACGTAGAGTCTCTAATCAAGTTCAAAGTTCTGTTTTCTTACTCTAATCAGTAATGATAATTATACTGAACTCGCAATTCGTTTTTACCAACGGAGAATGTATACAGTACAGGGTGTACCAAACTAATCTTAGTTCCCGTGACGTGTGAGTAGTAAAGTATCTTCATCTCTTGTACGTTGCGAAATAAGAAGTATGTTAGCTTTTCTGATACTATTCTGTGGACTTAGTTTAAAGGAATCGGTTTATTTTTCGTTCATTGGATTAACAAATTAGTATTGACTATTACCGGTTACAGCAGTTTGCACTTCTTTCATTATTTTTTTTTGGCTTCCGAATGCACACGCGGAGAAAGAATTAGGAGCTAAACTAATGTCATTGCTACCTGAAATTTATCAGCTGTTCGAAATAAGACGCTACAGTGAACAATATAGTTATACCTTGTAACAAATGTATTAGGTACCGGAAAAAGTTCGTGCGATTTTCTTCTTAGCAATGAATTGAAGTTGTATTTCAGTCAACAATTCGTACGTGAATGATGCATGAAGTTGATATCAATAGAAAGTTACATTGTGGTATATATGATGTGCAGCTTTCAATTGTTTCAACATTCCGTTGTTTATGTGAGGTTAAAGATAGATAGCGAAAAGTTAAAAACTCGTGCTTTCTTGTTTTATGAGTTTAAACTTGGAGATACAACGACAAATGCAGGAAAATGCATTTGCCGCTATATCTCCAAGTTTAAATTCATAAAACAAGAAAGCACGAGTGATGAAGGCAAAGCGTGTATGGTGAAGGTACTGTTAGCAAAAGGACAGCATAAAAATGGTTTAAGCGGAAGGTAATGAATCGCTAGAGGAATCGCGTTCGGGATATCCATCTGTTATTGAAGATGATAAACTGCGCAGATATGTGCGTTCAAACCCACAAAAAAGGCGTGCAGACGTGGAAAAGGGTCATCGAAGTCAATGGTACTACTTCGTCAAATAAAACTATTTTTTAAAAAAGTTCAGAGTGTTTTCCATTTTTATCTAAGAGAATCTGCACGAATTTATCTGGTACCTAATATATTTTATTTCTAATAGCTAATATCGTTCTTTTCTTTCTCTCTCCTTGGCTCTTTTTCTCGCTTCATGCTTGTGGTGCGTACACAGATTATACACAAGTGTATAGGACTTACAGTTTAACGCTGGTTCCGAATCGGCAGATTGTTGGAATGAGGGTTTTCGTGGCCAAGATACTCTCGGTGGTTTGTCAGTCCATCGGAGAGGAGATACGAGCGTATGAAAATATTTTAGTTCTATCGGGAGACAAACTCAGAACCTCCAATATAGCAGATCAGTATGCTGTTTGCTAGGTCACGCTCGTGTTCTAACATCGTTTCTACTGCAGCTAAATTTATTAGCTGTGATTAGCAACGACATTAGTTGTCCCTATTTTAGCTACCGTAATTAGTTCCATTAGCTGTCCTTATTTTAGCTGCCATAGCTAGTTCCTGCAGTTCCTACAACTAATTCTTCTTCTGTGTACATTTGATGTCATGAACTCTTGCAGAACTTTCAGGAAAGTGATGCAATATGGGCGATTATTTTGTGTGACGCTGTGCATAATATGTACGCGAAAATATGTACGAAAAAAATAATTTCGCTGTTGCAGCAAAACCGTCGTTACTGTCATGTATCCATACAGCGACAGCGACGAAATTTAGTTGGTGAATTTGTAAGTTTGGTGAATTTACGAATTATTTGTAATTAGAGCGGAAACAGCTTGGTTGCCGTAATAGAAAAATTTGGTTGACTGAATTTCTCTTTAGAAACATGTTAATTTACCGTCGCGACGAAAACAATGTATTCTTAGCAAATATATTTGTCGTTGCAGCGAAACCACTACTGCTGATACAAATTCGTTATGATAACGAAAAAAGTTTATTACCATAATTGATTATTTATATTGCTGTAGCAAGAAAGAGCGGACGCTAAAACACTATCACGTAGACTAATGATCTGTTCTTTTTAGCCCAACTGGCTGCACTAATTCAAGAAATGTACACATATTGAAGCGTGAGAATTTCGCTGAAGAAAAAGTGAGAAACGTACGCTTCATACGTCTCAATGTGCGTGTAAATTTTTTGAACTAGTGCGACCAATTCAACTAAAAAGAATAGATCAAATATGCTGTAGCTATGTACCACAGTTGCACGTATGTGCAACGCTGCGCCCATAAGCATGTGTGGTCCACGAACAAACATCGCGTTCTTTCGTTTTTCTTCTTACTACAAACAGGAAGAAATCTATCGATTTTGTTCCATTTGTATACTGTATACGTAAGAGTTGGCTCAACTCTTTGCCATCCACGAATCTCAATATTCGTCGTTCATGGTAAATAATAAAATGTAAGATGTTGCGTGTTTTCGGGCGATCGTTGTTTGCCGATAAAACTCGAGGAAGCGAAAATATTATGCACGTTCACATACGAGCAATATCGTATATCTGTATATTTGCTAAGCTAGTGAGATGTTTGATTGTAATAGCAAATATTTTCTTTGTTATAGTGGAAAATGTTTTTATAGTGGAAAATTTTTATAGTGGAAAATGTTAGATCAACGTTGCCATATAGTCCGGCTCCTAAGACGTTTCTCCGTACGCGTTACGTGCGATGCTGCGTCACCCGCACTGATGCGTAATCGAATGAATAACTCGGCCATGATTGGCGTCGACATCCGGGGCTCGTGGCACACATGAACGGCACGTCTAACCGATGACTATCTCATATATGTAAGCCATGGTGGTGCAAAGGGACGAAGTGAAAAATCGAATTATGTAACAATTACCTGGCACCAATGAGGATTGAGGTTGTCGCGCGCTCCAGGAACTTGAAGTGTTCCACGTGGCTCTCATTGCCCAGGAACTGCTGTCCAATCACCTCGCCTATAACAGAAAGAAGAAGTCTCCTAAAGTTACTGTTACGGCTTACAAGTCGGAAAAATGTATGATTTATACAAAATTACAATTTAACAGGTTATGCAACTAATTAAAACGTAATGTAATTAAACATAATGTAAGTTACGAGAAAGAAAAATGATAGATTGCGGAAAAAGCGATCGATCGCGTAATCCGCCACTTTAATTGTGCCAGTTAACACGTTGACTTCCATTGATTGCGCAAAAGCCTAACTGAAATGAATCATTAAAGATATGATAAATAAATGTAATTCGAAATAAACTTATGTATTTTTTATCCTGTTTCTCAGGTTGTGCAGCCAATTTTATAGCAATTAATTATATTTTTATATGTAACTTAATAAGACAGGGTAATATTTAAAGCATTCAATGTATTAAAATACATTAAAAGTTAAAAACCAGCACGATTTATTTATGTATAATATTATGTTGTTTCAAACGTTTTTTCTTCTCATTAACACTGAACAAATATTGTTGCAGACAAATATTGTTGCAGACAAAGTCATTTTCAAATAGAAATATGCTGACAAATGAAATATGTATGGAGAAAAACTTTTGAACCAAACTAATATATATACAGGGTGGACCATTTTAATCCATCCAGTCGAATATTTCGAAAACCAAGCCCAGGAGAGAAAAATTTTTCAGACAAAAGTTTGGTTTCGAGGGGACCATAAGACATTGGTTTGACCTTGAAGAATTATTTGAAAGTCACATGAAGATCACCTCAATTTTTTTAAATGGCATCCTCTATTTTTTATTACATATTCTTGTAGCTGACCTCGAGAGCTTTCCAAAACACTATAATGAAATGTTTCTTCATTGAGTACTTTTCGAGTTATAAAGCTCCAAAGTTGCAAT